AATTCTATGCCTAACATCTTCATCAATGCCGCCATCCTTTTGTAGTATCGATCCTAAATATTGGAAAGTCCCCTTCTTGGCCACCACTTGCCCGAACGTCACCATAATCACATGATAGCCATGATGAAAGAGCACGTCATGTACTCGGTCTTTTCGACTCTAACGTGTCCTTCCAAAAAAGCTATAACTTCCTATTTACCCCTGCTCTACTCTCGTAAACGAGCACCACATCATAACAATTATCACATGAATCATAAAATATTTTTTAATTTTACTATATTAAGCATTTTTAAATAAAATAAAGAAAATTCATTTGGATTAATCCAAAAACATGACACTCAAGTTGATCCTGTTGACCAAGTTATGGGTAAGTTCAGTTATTGAAACTAAACATAAATTTTAGTATTAAATACTTTATTACGATAAATGTAATGTTGTCCAAGCTCCAAATAATTATACTTTTATGACAACATGTTCAATGATCTATTAAAATTTATATATTATTTTTTTAATATTTATGTGAACAAATGACATTTTATTCAATAATTTATCGGTTGGATCATAATCGAATATGTTAATATTTTAATACATATAGTTATTTTTGTAATAATTTTATATAAAAATATTAATATTAAATATATAAACAATTTAAGTATTTAAATGTTTAAAATTTTTTATAAATAATTTACTCCATTTATTTAAGTAAGTATTTTTATTCTTATTAAAAATAATTATATGTAACAAGATTTAAAAATAATTAAATATAACAAAATTATATAAAAATCCTACCAAGTGTTGATCGGTTCAGTAGAAAACGTTTTATTCAAGCGACCCAAACCGATTCATGTCCATCTGATCGAGTCTAGTTCAATCCGGTTTTGAAAACAATGGGTAAATAATAGTTAATGTTATTTATATATTTAATTTATAACTCGATTGTAATCTTGTTTCTCGTGCGATGCACGGGCCATGTGGCACGTACTAGTTTGTATTTGAATAAATTAATTAATATTTTTTTTCTTGTTATGTTTAACCTTTCTCATGTTATGTATTTTTGATATATAATAATCGAATTAATCATATATTAATGTATTTAATTTCACATTCCTATTTATTTATAATTTAAGAAATAAAATATAAGTATCAATGTAAAATGAAATTATATCTTTTATCTTAGTTCAAATTCAATAATATCATAATTAGTTTAAAAGTTATCTCATACTCGTCTTGTTAAAAAATGCTATGTTCATTTTTTTTTTTTTTTT